TCATAGGTGTTCAGAATGATTTGATGGTTATCTAGCTAAATTCAGGGAACCAGATGAAACAAGGTGTCCTACTCTTCTGACATCTTGCTTCCCTTAACTAATTGATTTTAAATTTAAAAAATCATGTCACCTCCTAATGGATGCAGAAAAAGCATTCGAGAATATACGACATCCACCAATGATTAAACTCTCAAAAAAGTAGTTTTGGTGGGAACGTATCTTAACACAATAAAGGGCAACATCATACTCAATTATGAAAAACTCAGAACTTTCCCCCTAAGATCAGGAACAAGACAAGTATGTCCACTCTCACTACTTTAATCAACATGGTATTGGAAGTCCTAGCCACAGCAATACAACACAAAAAGAAGTAAAAGGCATCCAAATTGGTTAGGAAAAAGTAAAACTTTCACTATCTGCAGATAGCACAATACTACACATAGAAAACTCTAAAGACTCCATCAAAAAATTACTAGAACTGATAAGTGAATTTAGTAATATTTCAGGATACAAAATCAATATATAGAAATCTGTTGCATTTCCATACTCTAATAATGGAGTAGCGGAAATAAATTAGAAAACATTCCCATTTATAATTGCACCAAAAGAATAAAATGGTAAGAATAAACTTAAAAGAGGAACTTAAAGACCTCTACTTGGAAAACTATACAACAATGAAGAAAGAAATTGAAGATGACACAAACACATGGAAAGTCACATCATGTTTATGGTTTGGAAGAAAAAATATTTTTAACATGTTTGTATTTCCAAAGCAAGCTACACATTCATTGCAACTCTATCAAAATACCATTAAATTTTTTCGTAGTACTAGATCAAATAATCCTAAAATGTGTATGGAACCATAAAATACCCCAAATTGCTAAAGCAGTCTTGTAAAACAAGAACAAATGTGGAGGTATCACAATCCCACGTTTCAAGATATACTAAAAAACTATAGTCCTCCAAGCATTATGGCCCTGGAACAAATATAAACACACAAATCAATGGGACAGAATAGAAAGCCCTGAAATAAATCTATACTTTTATGGTCAATTAATCTACGACACAGAATGCAAGAATATGCAATGGGAAAAGACCGTCTCTTCAACAAATGTGGCTGTGAAAACTGGACAGCCACATGCAAAAGAATTATACTGGACCACTTTCTTACATCACACACAAAAATAAACTCAAAATAAATAGAAGATCTAAAAGTGAGTCCTAAAATTCCTAACGAAATCATAGGTAGTAATCTCTTTGACATCCGTCATAGAAACTTTTTTCTTGATATGTCTCCTTTGGCTAGGCAAACAAACACAAATTTAAACTTTTGGGACTGTACCAAAATAAAAAGCTTTTGTACAGTGAAGGAAATCATCAATAAAAAAATAACTAATCTAATTGGAGAAAATATTTGCAAATGATATATCTAATAAGGATTAATATCCAAGATATATAAAGAACTTTTACAACTCAACACCCAAAAAAGGAATAATCCAATTAAATAATGGGCAGATGATATGAATAGACATTTCTCTAATGAAGACATCCAGATGGCCAATAAACACATGAAAAAATACTCAACATCACTGATCATCAGGGAAATGCAGATCAAAACTACAATGAGTATCACTTCACACCTATGAGAATGGCTAAAATAAAAAAACACAAGAAATAGCAAGTGTTGGCAAGAATGTAGACAAAAAAGAACACTCGTGTACTGTTGGTGGGAATGCAAACTGTGCACGGTGGAGCAGCAACTATGGAAGACAATATGGAGCTTCCTCAAAAAATTAAAAATAGAATTTCCATATTACCCAGTAGTTCCACTACTGTATATTTACCCAAAGAATATTAAAGCATTAATTCAAAAAGATATATGCATCCCTAAGTTTATTGCAGCCTTATTTACAATAGTCAAATTATGGAAGCAATGCAAGTGTCCATCCATAGATGAATGGACAAAGAAGATGTGGTGTATATTCACAATGGAATATTAGTCATAACAAAATGAAATCTTTCCATTTGCAACAACATTAATGGATCTAGAGGGTATAATGCTAAGTGAAATTAATCAGAGAAAGACAAATATCATATGATTTCACTTATATATAAATTTAAGGAACCAAACAAGAACAAAGTAAAAAAGAGAGGGAAACCATGAAACAGACTCTTTTTCTTTGAAACAGACTCTTAACTATAGAGAACAAACTGATACTTACCAGAAAGAAGGTGGATGGGGGGATGGGTGAAATAGGTGAGAAAGACTAACAGTATGCTTACAATAATGAGCACTGACTAATGTATAGAATTGGTGGATCAGTATATTGTACATCTGGAACTAATATAACACTATATGTTAACCATACTGGACTTAATTTTTTAAAAAATCTCTTAAATATACAGAACAAACTGGTGGTTGTCAGAGAGTAGGCATGTATGGGGGATGAGTGAAATAAGTGAAGGGGAATAAGAGTGCAATTATCATGCACTGAGTAATAAAATTTTTGAATCACTGTATTGTACAGCTAATATAACTAACATATACACCTAATATAATATAAACTAATATTTCACCTAATATAAATTAATATAACACTGCATGTTAATTATTCTCGATTTTATAAATAAATAATAAATAAATATGCAATCTATTTCCAATGTTTTGAACTAACTCAAACACTCTCAAGTCTTGGCAAGCACAAGTTATGATGCTTTGTTGGCCGCTTTATAGCCAAAATGGCTTTTAATTTTACTTTCCAGTAAGAGTCCTTGGTCCTCTATGTAAATATTGAAAGGGGAAAAAAGACAACAAAAATAATAATCCAAAAGAGGAGTAGTTGAAGAATGAGGAAGGAAAAAATGCAAGGTTGCAGGAGACTTTCATGCTCCTTAAAGACCCTTAAGCCACAGGCAGTCTCTTCCTTCAATGTAACTATTATTAAGCACTACCCCAGGATGTGTTGATAGAATTCTAGATCTACCAGCAGAGTGGTCATCTAAACAGAAACTCTTGTTTTCCTGGCTCTGCCCTGGTGTTCTAGGCTTATGAGCCCTACTCTCTGCTTCACTGGGATCATTTTGGAACATGGTTTCCTCAATTTTGGGCATCTTGATGTTATCTGGAATTAGGGAGACAATAAAAGGTAAGCTGTTTATAGTATAATATCTGTCTCTAACCCAGGGATGAGCGGGAGAGGTCTTCAGCTGCCATTGTGCGCCTTGATGACAGAACCTACTGCTCCCAGTTAAGGAGGTCAGGAACAAGGGCCTCGAGGGCCTCACAAGCCTCTTACTGCAATAGCTTAGGTTCTCAAACAACCCTGGGAGAAGGCGAACTTGAAAATAGTGTGACTGCTTTTCCTTAAATCAAAGAAGTTAGGGGTAAGGCAAGCAGAAGAGGAAATTAAGGCCCAGAGATGGACAATGACTTGTGAGAGAACACTGCACAGGAGTGGTGTAGTTAGGAGAGGAAACTTCTTCAACTCTGGCTGTCTTTAAGTAATCCAGGAATTTCCCCCTTCCTCCTTAACTTCACCCAGACCCGCCTTTGACTATGAAGAGAGTGGCATCCAGACTCACGCAGCAAGAGACCCCTCTCGACCTGGACCCTGGTCCTTCACCTCCTGCCAGTCCTTAACCCACTGCCCTGAAGCTGCATCTGCTATTGAAGCCGTTTTGCCCCTTCAATAAGGTCCTGGAGCATACCATGACAGACAGGGCAGGAGGGGAGATCAGCAGGAAGGGACTGGGTGGAACCATGGAAATGATGAGACCTACCTGAAGCACACCCCTGCCAATGATGCCAGGTGAAAGAGCCCAAAACCTAAAAACAAAGGGTGGCCAGTCTCCTGTAGCAATGTGGGTTTTGTGCCCAGGGTACCATGGGAACCAAGAGAGCAGGAAAGGCAAACAGGGAAGCACCATCAATGATAGAGATAAGAGCCAGAGATTCCTCATATGGAGGCTTCAGGCTCATATCCTTATTCCTAGGCTTGAAGTCCCAGAAGGGCTTGAAATTAATTTTCTTAAGTCCTGTTCCTTCTGCATAGGTAAGGTACTGTCCCAAACTATTAACATCATTCCCCCAGGAAATAAAACATTAAATAACCTTTTAGAAAGGAAAAGGATCGTCAGTTTTTGTTTGTTTTACCTCATGCTGTTCACGTAGCCTTAGAAATGAACAATCAACAGGGTTGCAGAATTCCAGAATTTCATTCTGATTTTTTTAAGTCTATACAATGTGAAATAGACATATAAGCTGTTAAACTCTTATTTTACAAATATGGAAACAAAGAATTGTTTTAAAGGGCTAATCATAGAAGCTGTGTGGTAAAGGGGCAAAACCATATGTTTAAGACAGAGCCTAGGTTTTGGTTTTGTGTTTCTAACTGAATTTCTGACAGTTTTCCATTAAAATTCAGTTATAAGCCTTGGAGATCATCTAGGACCTGAAGATGCTGGAACAGATTGTAAGGGCCTGGTTGGCCAGAGGGAGTCATTTTGTGTTTATGTAGTGAACTTAGATTGACCCAATGCAGTAAACTTAGATTGACCTTGCCCCTTCCAGAGGAACTTACTTGCAAAGCCTAGATACAAGGGCGGGTCAGGCCAGGTGAAGACATCCAATCAGTTGGGCGTGCAAATATCTACTAGGGTAAATTGAAATTCAATTGGCCACCCGTGTGTTACCTAGCAGTTTTTTTTTTTTCTGTGTGTGGCAGACTTAGCATGACTGTGCAGTTTTCTCTGTGTATTGCAATCTCATTGGCCACCTGTGTATAGCCCAGTTAAACTACCTCTATAAAAGTTAGTCTGTGAGGCTGGGAGGGGTCGCCTCTTTGCAAGAGATGGCCCTGACCGGTCAGTTTGATTCTCGATGCTTGGCGCGAAATAAAGCTTTGCTTGACCTTCACTTTGTATCACTCTCGCTCCTTTGATTATGGACCCTAACATTGGAGGTTGCACCTGGATTCAAACGACGAGAACTGAGCCAGCATTGGAATTTTTGGGAAAAGCCTCCGGAGGTAAGACCACAGGATCCTATCTGTCTGTCTGGTTGGAGCTCCAGGGTATGGCCCACCGGGGAGAAGCTGGATGCAGCCATGCTCCCCAGGGCTGGAGGGATGCGGGGACGCCCCATCCCTCTGCTGGTAGATCGATGGGGGGTTCAAGTCCCCCTGGGCGGTCGGGGGGTTTGAGTCCCCCTAGGTGGTTGCCAGGGGGTTCTAGTCCCCCTGGGCAATCAGGGGCCTGACGGGGGTTTTGAGTCCCCCTGGGCGGTTGGGGGATTCAAGTCCCCTTAGGCAGTCGGGGGATAAAGAAAGCCCCCACCAGTGGCAGGTTCTGGGTAAGAATCGTTGGGCCTGTGGTTGTCTTTGCCTGGTCCTTTTGTTATCTGTTGTGTTGTTTGTTATGATTGAAGGAATGGGGCAAGCAGAGAGTAAGGGGACTCTGACTTTCATCTCTCCATTCTTCATAATAGATGTGAGGCTTCTCGCTCACTCATTTTGTGTGTTAAGGGCTATGACTGGAGACAACTGGGGTTAGTTTAATGCTGGGTTAAGGTGCCCAATGCTGATGGTTATTGGAGCCAGGCGTGGAATATGAGTGCCTAGTGGGCCACTTTTGGTAAGCAGAACTGGCACTGCGGGATGAACCGATCTCGAGACAGAGACTTTAAGGAATATTCCCAAGCAGCTGCTGAAACTCCTTTTGTTTCGGGGAATTCCTTGCCTTCTCTGGCCCGACGTGGCCTGCCTAGCCCTTCCCCCTTGCTGGTGGGAGAGCATGGCATCTGAAGTGGAGATGGTTATTTGTCTGTCTCAAGGTTTTAATGGGTAATTGTTAAAGTGGCTTCCGAAGTCTTTGGTAACCTGAAACTGTGAAGGGTTGCTTGAATGACAAATGGAATTAAATTTGTTGGACATGTAGGTCTTAACCAAATGAGATAAAATGCTAGAGCGTTGGCTGCTGGAACTGGGTTTGTGCTTTTGAAATCTGCTGGTGAACATGTTTTGTGCTTAACTGATTGATAAATTTGCCATCTAAAGAATTCTGTTGTAACAACTCACAATTGGTTTATATTTAGTCTTCAGTAGAGGTTAAGGTATTTCTAAGAGTACAAAATTCTGTTAAGTGTAATTAAGACTGATGGAAATGAGAAAAGCAACTCTGTATGTAAAAAGTAGGAGATATGTAAAAAGAGAGAAAAACAGCCCGAGGCCACTGTCGGAGCTAAATCCATTCGTAAAAGAATGGAAGGGGAGACTGATCACCTCCCATTAGCCAGGGATACCCAAAAGAGAGGATGTCCAACCTGTTTGAATCTGAAGAGTACCTGACTGTGTGAATGTGTCTGTATGGCTCCACCGCTTCCGCTACGGAGTCTGAGTGGGCTGCACCCTGAGTCTCGCGGGGCATCATATGGCATAATGGTCATCTACTCCATGGAGTAGCATGGTCTGGGGTTTATGCGGACAGACCTTAGCTAAGATGCTCCTAAGTTCCCATGAGGACAGCATCTGAAAGATCCCCCTCCCTTTGTCAGCGACAACATTCACAATGGGAGGGAAACCTAGTAAACTCATTATCTGCATACTTAAAAAAAAAAGGCACTGGTATAGAAAAGCTGGTTTTCTCTCTGTTTAAAAAGACAAAGTTTTCTTAAGTTAGTTGATCTGTTATGGTTTTCTCTTTGCCTGCCCAGAAAATTCAGTTTCTATGTTTTGTTTTATCAGGTGTTTAACATCCCTACTTATATTTAGGCATGTGTTTTAAAACTTTCTAAGGTTTTAGCAATTGTTGACAAGATTTAAACCAATGATAAACCTTGGGTTACATTTGGGAAAATACTATGCATTTCCTAAAGTTTTAATATGTTGATAGATCATCACTTGATATTGTGATTATGGAAATGTTACGTGTCACAGAAGTAACCTGATTTCCTTGCCAGTTACATTGTAAATTCTCATCTCACCAGCTCTTTACCATATCTATTCTGAGTTTTTGTCATTTGTAATTGTTTTAATTCTCTTGTAAGATAAATTCCGTCTTAAAGAAAATTCATATGGGAGACTTTCAGGACAAATACAGGTCTTTGATATGTTAAAATCCTGGAACTGAAATGGGTAAGAATTTACAGAAGTAAAAGCTGCATTCGGACTAAACCAGAATTATTAACATGGGACTAGGTGAACTGAAAGATTGTAATGTTGTATCTCTTGATGTTTTGTCTTATTTTAAACATTAATGGTTCTTTAATGTTTGCTCTTCCAGACTAGGAAAACTTTTTCTTAAGTTATCTGTAACTTACAGAGATAAAAATGTAGTCATTTGTAAACAAATCAAGGTATTCAACTCTTTCTCTCTATCTGAACCCTCTGAAACCAAAAGGTCTCAGCAAGTATTCTTTCTTCCATTGCAATCAGTCATTTGCATAAGTTCAATAAGAATCTGTTCTCCTTGTAACAGGACACCATTGGAAACACTGGTTATTTTACCATGGCTTTGACTGAAATGTCATATTTGAAAAGACTCAGATATAACTAGACAGCTTAAAGGAACTAAGGTGGACTTTATAAAACCTGGAACCGTAAAGCCTTTTGGAACTGTTGGCCTGATATCTTGCTTACAGAGTTCCCAACAGCCTCACCAGGTGAGTAAAGGATGTTACTTCCTGGCAGGTGCAGGAACCTCAGGATTCTTTGGGGGCCTCAGGAAGAGGAATTCGCCCAAATTGACAGGTATTGCAGGCATGTCTGATGGCAAGTATGTAGCTTGGCTTCTGGCCTGGAGAGGCTATCATAAGTTCAACCTAGAGATTCCTTATGAGAAGTTCCAGCAAAGCAGATTCTACAAGATTTATATGATCCCTCACTGTTCTTGCTGAGCTTATGTAAATAATTAGGCCAAGCTTGTTAAAACTGGACTTGTTTTTCAAATAAATTAGTCCTGATTTGGCTATCTCTGAAAACGAGGGTTATTTTAGAGAGAAAAATTATGTTTTAATAACACATTTATGGATGTTAAATTCTAGATTTGATTGTCTTTAAATATTTGTTTACTTAAGCTAGACAACTTGAGGTAAACTTCAGGGAAGTTGCACGATAGCTCATTTAGACGATCTTGCTTTGCCAGTCAGTCAGCCCCAGATATAGGAAAATTCAGAAAATTGGAGGATTTGAAGGGAAGAATCTGACTGAGTTAGTGGGAATAGCAGAAAAGTTGTTTAACAACAGGGATGCACAAGAGGATGAGAAACAGACAAAAAAAAAACTGGTTAAGGTTTTGGCATTGCATGAGGCGGGGAGGAGACGGGTAAGGGATAGTAAATGGAAGGAAAAGCCTAAGCACAGAGAAGGTAGGCAGGAAGACTTAGATTCAGATCAGTGTGCTTACTGTAAGAAAAAAGGACATTGGGCCAGGGAATGCCCTAAAAGGAAGACAGCAATGCTTGCCACCAGAGACTGAAGGGGCCATGGTTCGGAGCCCCTCCCCAAACCTCAGGTAAAAATTGAAGTGGAGGGGAAATCAGTTGATTTTTTTGGTGGACACAGGAGCCCAATTTTCATCATTACTTAAACCTATGGGAA